TAACTGCCCTCCCAGGACCCTCCCTTGCTCCCTGTCCCCTGACTGCCCTGACCCCTATCCATCCCCTGCCCCCTGAGGGACCCCTGGGACTCCCATGCCCCATCCAATCCCCCCTGCTCCCTGACTGCCCTCTCCAGAGACCCCCGCCCCTAACCACCCCCCGCGGGATCCCACCCCCCTATCCAACCCACCTGTCCCCTGACTGCCCCCACCCCTTATCCATCCCCCCTGACTCCTTACCATGAGATGAAGCTCCTAGCCTCCCCGCAGAGCCAAATACTGTCCCATGGGAGTGCGCAGCCCCAGCCCCCAGAGCGCTGCACGTGTGGCGACATGAGGAGGGGGGAGCGTGTCTGACTCCCTGCGGAGCCCCAGCCCCCAGAGCGCTGCGCACGGCGGCACAACTCCAGGGAAGCGGGGGAGCATGTCTGCCTCACCGCGGAGGCAAACGCTGTCCCACGGGAGCGCACAGCCTCGGCCCCCAGAGCGCTGCACGCGTGGCAGCATGGCTCGAGGGAAGGCGGGGGAGGGGCCAGCGGCTTGCTGCGTTTGGCCAGGCACTCCGGCCCAGGAGCGCGGACCCCGCAGCTTGTCATGCCGGGGAGTGGAGCCATTTTCCCACCCCTGCATTAGGGTGTGCCTGGGCACACCCGGCACACCCCATGCGCACGCCTATGCCAGTTATGTATTACTGTATATTGCTTCCCTGGCTGCTCACATCCATCCCAGCAGTGGCTGTCTTTCAGGGGTGAAGCAACTTCCATATGTACATAGTTTGTAAATGCTTTTGAGATTTGTTGGGATGAAGGTTGCTATATTAATACCTGCTACAGCCCCCGCCCATAAAATAGGGTTGCCAACTTTCTACTCACACAAAACCGAACATCCTTGCCCTGCCCCACCCCTTCTCCAAGGTCCCGCCCCCTGCTCATTCCATCCTCCCCACCCCAGTCGCTTGGTCTCCCCACCTTCACTCACTCACTCATTTTCACCAGCTGGCTCAGGGGGCTGGGATGCAGGAGGAGGTGAGTGCTCCGGCTGGGGGTGCAGACTCTAAGCTGGGACCAGAATTTAGAAGTTCTGGGCGTGGGCTCCATGCTAACTCTGAGGCCGTGGGTTGAGATACGAGAGGGGGTGAGAGCTCCGGCTGGGGGTGTAGACTCTGGAGTGGGACTTGGGGTGCAGAAGGGTGGTCCAGGCTGGGATTGAGGGGTTCAGAGGACAGGAGGGGGATCAGGGCTGAGGCAGGGGTGCAGGCTCTGGTCAGCGTTTACCTCAAGCAGCTCTCGGAAGCAGCGGCATGTCACACCTCCGGCTCCTACGCAGAGGTGCGGCCAGGTGGCTCTGCGAGCTGCCCCATCTGCAGGTGTCGCCCCCGCAGCTCCCATTGGTTGCAGTTCCCCGGACAATGGGAGCTGCAGAGCCAGTGCTTGGGGCAGGGGCAGCATGCGGCTCCCCCTGGCTGCCCCTATGTGTAGGAGTCAGAGTGGGGACATGCTGCTGCTTCTGGGAGCTGCGCAGAGCCACGGGAGGCAAGGAGTCTGCCTTAGCCCTGCTGTGCCCCTGACCGGCGCCGCCAGGGTCCCTTTTCGAGCGGGCTTTCCAGTCGAAAACCAGACACCTGGCAACCCTACCATTAAAAAAGGTAAAACTTTTAGTGCATGTTGTAATAGGAGTTGTGAGATAATGCATAAGGTCTTGCAACAGATGGAGAAGAAAAACTAAAATTCACCATCCAAAGCCAGGGAGCACGGAGACTCTGTCTTCTGGGAATGAAAATGATCATCGCTAAACTAAAATTGAAGGGAGAATATTGCAGCAAGTCAGTACTATTATGGTTTGCCATTTTCATTCAGAATCTGATTCATACTTGAATTCAAGGGTAAATAAAACTGACAAGTTTGAATTGAAATTCCTATTTGTGTTATGTGTGTGATATATATTATTTCTCTGCATACAATTTCATTGCCTTCTGCAGCTCTTT